TAGGTCCAGTTTGATTTCTGATAATTGTGTTTGCTGATGTGGCATGTTTTTTTGTTTTTTTTAATACTGTACCAGACATTTACAGCAGGTCCACAGAGGGATGACAAACTGCACTTACATCTCTCTTCTAATCAGCACTTTACAGCTAGATACATTGACTCTGGTACTCAATTTCTGTCTACAATTCAGCCTCTAAGTCTGCAACAATGAGACTCAGCCATTACTTATTGTGCTGTGTGACACACAATCAATGTCATGCAGAGCAGCTGATGACTCATTCAGAAAGACCTTAGAGCATGAAGGGTTAACCACTCATTAGGGTTGATTGTGTGTTTATGAGCCACTTGTGTATTCAGCTGTTTATACAAACTGTACATTTTAGAGCTATCAAAACTATTTGGCAATTGTAATACGAGTAATATAATCTGATCATTAAACAGAGCTCTTTGTATGTTTTTACTAGAGGGTTAAAACCTGACTGTTTCAATTGTAGTTTGAGATGAGAATGGTCTCCATTCAGTCAAAGTCAACCCCATTGCGTATTTAAGCGTTTCGCTTTTGTCCTCTTACAAAGTGAGCAAAGAAAACATTTAAGGTGGCATTCTTTCATTGCTCTTTCAGACTGCGAATTTGTTCCACTGACAAGGCAGCTTTAGGGCTGATAACAGGCCATGCCATTGATAGGCTTGAATCACTATTGTTTTAAAGTTTGATGTGAGACCTGATCCTGTTTGAAAGGCCACGATCATATCATTGTAGATTTCAGCTCGCCATGGGTCAGACTTCGCTTTCATAGCTGTTTATCATTACACTCTAAATCCTGCCTGTGGTCCAGGGTATCAAGGCGGCATTAGCTGGACTCTGAGGTCGAAAGAAACAAAACTCTACTTTGCTGAAGGATCGATGTCTGTTGAGGCTTTTGCAATCAGGCTGTGACCATGATTGAGCGAAGGAGTCGTCCCCTAAGATAAGGCTGTAATCAACAGCGCACTAAATGGTCTTTGTTGTACATTCAATTACACGCTAATGAGTTGTGCAAAGTGGAAATCTTTAAATACTAATGCAATTTAAATCGTATATAACTAAAGCTGCAAAGAAGTAAATAATAGAGGTAAAATATGAAAGAGATTAAGTAAATAACAAAGGTAAATTATTGTAAAGTAGGAAAATATCTACAACAATAAAAACTTTGTGACTACATTAACCTGCCTATATCAAACGTATTTAAATATTTATTTGTATTTATATATTTAGTTGAAATATATATATTTTTTATGTGAGAAGAAATAAAGCACACTGGGCCTCATTTATCAATCTAACGTAGAAACGAGCGCAGATCCGTGCGCACAAATCAATTTAAGACAGAGTTCACGTGTGATTTATGAAACATTCGCATGCCGCCGATCTCATCGTAGGAATGATCGCATGTTGATAAATGTGGCTGCAGATAACAATCACGCCCCTAAAAACACCCAGGTTTAGAAGCCTCGCCCCTAGA